CCGAGACTGAAACTTTTCGCCTCAAGCAAATCTCCGTCGCACGGTCCAAACAAACATAGCGAGCAGCTGAGCTAGTAGTATATGTCCGTGTTAAAACACACGAAAGGGCTCTAAAGCACACTTCACTCTGATTGGGCAGAAGAACACAAAGATTTTCTGGCACCAATCAGATGGCAGAACGACTGCGACCGTTTGGAACTTGTCTTGTAAGGCAATGTCCCCAGGGGCTCTTCACGCCCTAACTTGAAATCGACCGACAGCCCCTGGGTCTCCGAGGATGATGACATGTCTGAGACCTGAGAATTTCTACAGCTGCGTTGGCGCTGTTTCAAGCAGTGTTATCAGCGCGGCAAATCCTGCCGACTGCTAAGTTAACCACTAAAGAGTATTTATTGTACAAGCACAGGCGCGCAAAATAGGAAAATACTCGCAGTAAATAATCCTACAGTTTTCGGCAGAGTTGTTTGGCAGATTCCTCAAGTAAACTGGACAAATTTTTCACGAGGATATGGCTCTCTGTGAGTTTTCTAAACTTGTTGGTGGACCTTGTAGTGAGAGTACAGATTAACCATCAAACGTGGCATGTGTTTCTATCGGGGAATGTGATAGAGACTTAAAGGGACATCTGATGTTCTGCAAAATCAGCGGTGACACGGTGACATTGCGGTAAAGAACGAGTCAAGGCTGCTCCTTGCTCGAGCAGGTAAGCAACAATTCTCACATTATGTTATGTTATGTTTCTGATATCATATTTATAGCATATGGATATGTTGCAATTTTCAATTCACAATCGATGACAGGGCATTGGGGTTTGCAGTGATGCGGTGTTGCTAATTTTCTTTGTGCGGAATTTCGGTGAATGAGTCTCACCGTGCAGTGTTGCGGTGATCTCAAACCCTACAGTGTGCGATGTTTGTGTTTTTAAACCTACGGTGTTCAGTGTGAAACGAAATTTAGTGCGGTTTTTTGTTTGACCTTCCGGTGAGAACAAAAATTAGCTTCAGCCTTTATCCGGCTACATTGATTGTCTTGCTTACATGACGTACGGACGTTTTTTCCTTTTTCAAAAAGCCATGTAGACTATGTAAATAATGGAATTATCGCGGCGTCGGAGTTTCGTCAACTTTTTTGCGGTGATGCGGTGTTTGTTAACTTTTTGTGCGGTGTTTCGGTATTCAGAGCCCCCCAATGTCCTCCTCATCGTTGGTACTGAGTATCAAGATGGAGTACGGGAGGGGAGAGGGGGAACCGGAAAGCGGGAAAGGGCGGCGAAACGCGATGGTAAGGGTAAAACAAGTGGCTGGCTAACAACCAAAAGACGGATGACACAATGACACAGGTTTTATTTACCACGAATGATACACTATATATTATTGACCACGGAGCCATAACTCGTT